AGCGCTGTGTGTTGTGAAGTGTCTGTTGAAATCATTTGATTATTGCTATGGGGTTGCTTTTCTCACCGAGTTTACAACTCTGTTGTGTATACATTCTGGATACGAGCCCTTTGTTAGATACGTTCTGTAAATATTTCTCCTGGTCTGTCAGGCCTTTTCATTTCCTAGACAGTGTCGTTTAAAGAAGAAAAATGTTTAGTTTTGATGAGGTCAAGTATATTTTTCCTCTTACGGTTTTCGCTTTTTGTTAAGAAATCTTTGCCCCACACGACGTCACATAGGTTTTCTGTCTTCTTCTAGAAGTTTTATGTTGTTAACTCTTCTGTTTAGAGCAATGATCCATTGCTCGTTGCTTTTTATGTCCGGTGCGAGGTCAGATCAAGGTTCATTACTTCCCACACAGGTATCCAGTTGTTCCAGCAAAATCTGCTGAAAAGTCTAGCTTTTCCCCAGTGATTTTTGTCAAAAAAACCCCCCACAAAACCGTCTACCAGGCAAGTGTGGGTCTATTTCTTTTCTTCTTTGATAACCCTTACCTGAGGAGTGAGGATATTTTTTCTAAGGAGGTGGGAGTGGGAGAGACAGAAAGAGAGCAGAGAGAAACATCTATGCGAGAGAGGCACATTGGTGGATTGACTTCTGCATGTGCCCCAACCAGGGGTGGGGATCGAACCTGCAACCCAGGTAGGTGCCCTTGACTGGGAATCAAGCCTGGGACCCTAAGGTGGGGAGGCCAATACTCTAACCACTGAGCCATGCCCGCCAGGGCAAGTGTGGGCCTATTTCTGAACTCTATTCTGTTCCATTGATCTGAAAGTTTATCCATATTGTCCTGACCACTGTGGCTTTCTAGAAAGTTCTGACAGCAGGGAGTGTATGTCCTCAACCTTCTTTGAAACCGTTCGGGCCAACAAATCAACTTGTCCATTTTTTCAAACAAGCCTGCTGGAATTTTGACTATCTCTCCACCAACTCTATAGGTTCCTCAGACTAGATGTTCACTGATCAATTTTCAAGGTCACTGATTCCATCTTCTGTCAGCTCAAATCTGCTATTAACCACTCTAGTAAATTCTTCATTATAGATAACGTGCTTTTCAACTCAAAATTCATATTTGGGGATATATATGTATACATATACTAATATGATATATAACCTCCTATGTAATAAAGAGCTAATATGCTAATTAGACCAAACAGCAAAATAACCGTCTGGACGAAGCTGGGGCTGCGAGGGCCAAGCCCCTGGCACGAATTTTGTGCACCGGGCCTCTAGGGTATATTATATCTATAATAATAAAAAAGCAATATGCTAATTAGATCTGATGTCTTCCAGATGTCATTCTGGACATCCATCCTGACGAAGCCAGGGCTGGAGGAAGGAAGCCTGGGTCCTGGGTGCCGGAGGGAAGCCGGTGCCGGCAGCCGGGGGAAGGAAGGCCTACTCTTGCACGAATTTTTGTGCACCGGGCCTCTAGGGTACATATAACAAATTCTATCTGTTTTTGATAGCCTGTATTTGATGCGTTAGTGCCGTCATACATTTCTTTTATGTTTTGACCACCATTTCCTTAATTCTTTGAACACATTCATAAATAGCTGCTCTGAAATTTGTTCTTTTTCAAGGTGCAGGGTCCTGCCCTCGCAATATCAAAGATCGCTGATTAGCCTGACCAGTGTGGCTCAGGGCTATGAACCAGGGCTGATCAGTGACCTTTAAAAAAAATATATACATACTTTTTAATTGATTTCAGAGAGGAAGGGAGAGGGAGAGAAGGAGAGAAAAATCAAAGATGAGCCCAGCCGCATGGCTCAGTGGTTGAGCGTCGACCTAGGCTGTAATTCTCCTGCTGCAGGTACACCGCAGCCACTTCTGCTTCTGAAACGCGAGCAACTGGGCGAGGTGACGAAGTGCTTTTAGTTCAAGCCACCTGCAAACTTGGCTGTGTATCAACTACTGCTACAAGGGAAATACCACTTTCACCAAACTGATCTTTTTGACAATCTGGTTGCAAACAAAACTCAGCATAACTGTAACAAAGCTTCACATAGGGAGAGGTTATAAGAAAGTGAGCATTGCCCGGCTGGTGTGGCTCAGTGGTTGAGCAATGTCAACTACTGCCACAAGGGAAATAGCACTTTCACCAAACTCATCTTTCGACAATCTGGTTGCAGACAAAACTCGGCATAACTGTAACAAAGCTTCACATAGGAGAGGTTATAAGAAGGTGAGCATTGCCCGGTTGGTGTGGCTCAGTGGTTGAGCGTCAACCTATGAACCCGGGGGTCACGGTTCGATTCCCAGTCCAGACACAGGCCCGGGCTGTGGGATCCATCCCCAGTAGGGGGCGTGCACGAGGCAGCCAAGCGATGATTCACGCTCATCACTGATGTTTCTATTTCTCTCTCCCTCTCCTTTATTCTCTGAAATCAATAAAATATCTTCAAAAAAAAATGATATACACATGCACACAGATGTTTCAAATTAAATATAGTTTCATTTTAAACTTCTCCTTGGGGGAAAAAAGAGATTTGCTCCTAAGTAGACTCACCTCCGTGTTCTAGAAAGACTCGGACGCATCTTTCCTTTCCTCTGGCTGCTGAGAAGTGGAGCAGGGTCCAGCCGTTCGCATCCCGGCCATTCGGGGAATAGCCCTGTTCTAGCATCTTCCGGACGGTGTGGACATCCCCGGCGGCCACCGCAGCCTGGATCTGCAACTCTTCCTGGAGCTCAGGGTTCCTCCGACAGTGGTGGTGTAACATCCTAGCGGAGTCCACTGCTTACAAAGGATGCATTAGGTCACAGGGGTCAGCCTTTAAGGGGAGGCAGAGAACATGGCGTTTAGGATTCTGGGCTCCTGGCAGAGGGGCCATGACATGTTACGGAATTTTCCTTGGCTAAATCGCGTGCACCTCAGTGATGCCAGTTCATAATGAACCAAATCTATTATGACCCAGACATTCTGTGATTTCCGTAGGATGATGAAAGATGGCAAAAAGAAAGCTGCTCGGCCGGCATGGCTCAGTGGTTGAGCGTTGACTTATGAACCAGGAGGTCACGGTTCGATTCCCAGTCAGGGCACAGGCCCAAGTAGTGGGCTCGATCCCCAGTAGGGGGCGTGCAGGAGGCAGCCGATCCATGATTCTCTCTCATCACTGATGCTTCCATCTCTCTCCCCGTCTCTCTTCCTCTCTGAGATCAATAAAAATTTATTTAAAGACATACAGAAACTTAAACTAACATTCTTTTAGGAAGCCACTCCATCTGGGCTAATTTTCAGGAATAGATTAGACACATCTCTTAGTAGGCTTCCATTTCTAAAAATAAAAAAAATTATGGGCCAGAACCGGTTTGGCTCAGTGGATAGAGCGTCGGCCTGCGGACTCGGGGGTCCAAATTCGATTCCGGGCAAGGGCATATACCTTGGTTGTAGGCACATCCCCAGTGGGGGGCGTGCAGGCTCTTCCTCTCTGAGATCAATAAAAATTTATTTAAAGACATACAGAAACTTAAACTAACATTCTTTTAGGAAGCCACTCCATCTGGGCTAATTTTCAGGAATAGATTAGACACATCTCCTAGTAGGCTTCCATTTCTAAAAATAAAAAAATTATGGGATAAAGTTCTTTAAAGACATTTTGGTCTGTTATGTAGGTTAGACATCTTGGGATGATCTTGTTACCAATAATAAGTTATCGTGTAAAACTTCTTCTTATAGCCCTGGCTGGTGTGGCACAGTTGGTTGAGCATCATCCCATGCACCAAAGGGTTGCAGGTTCGATTCCTGGTCGGGGCACCAGAAAAAAAACAACTTCTCATTATAGATTATACAAAGGTAAACTTAAGCCTAACTTAGGCCACATCATCACAGCCTAAGAGCATAATCAAATATCCTATGCTATTTTATACATGGAAAATGGTATTACAAACTATTTTTTTAAATATGTATTTTTATTGATTTCAGAGAGGAAGGGAGAGGGCGAGAGAGATTGAAACATCCATGATGAAAGAGAATCATTGATCGGCTGCCTCCTGCACACCCCCTACTTGGGATCAAGCCCACAACACGGGCATGTGCCCTGACTAGAATCGAACCTGGGACCCTTTTGTCCGCAGGCTGACGCTCTATCCACTGAGCCAAGTCAACTAGGGCGGTTATAACAAACTCTTAAGTATCACTACTAAGTAACGTCATTTAAAAATATCGGGCTACTTCTACAGAGAGCTATTTCCTCAGAACAATTAGGAAATGAGAAATTTCAAGACGATCTGTCTTCTTAATAAACATGATTTCCTCCCCATCTCTTCACTTAATTATTTTTCAACTGACGCTAAAGTCAGGCCTCTCTCATTTTAAAAATGTAAAACCAGGAATCCCTGTTTGAATAGGTTTTTGCCTACTATTAGTATTTTTTGTTGTTGTTGTTGTTTTGTTAATCCTCATCCCATCTCTTCACCTAATTATTTTTCAACTGACACTAAAGTCAAGTCTCTCTCATTTTAGAAAATGTAAAACCAGGAATCCTGTTTGAATAGGTTTTTGCCTACTATTAGCATTTTTTGTTGTTGATGTTGTTGTTTTGTTAATCCTCACCCTGGGATCTTTTTTTTCCAATTGATTTTCAGAGAGTGGAAGAGAGGAAGGAAGGGGAAAGAGAGGGAGAGAGAAACATTGATGTGAGAGAGACACGTTGACTGGTTGCCTCCCGCATGCGCACAGACTGGGGCTGGGAATTGAACCCACAACCCTTTTGGTGCATAGGCCGACGCTCTCACCACTGAGCCACATCGGCCAGGGCTACCATTACGGTTTTAAGAGAAGATGGTGAAGACCATCAGAAAGAATGAACGGGAGCTACGGACGGGTCAAAGCAACCATCTTTAACAGATTCTTTTTTTAATGGGATGATCTACCTTGGCCCTCGAATGAGGGCTACTCTGCAAGAACAAAGGTCAAACACCATCAAACGAAACCTGGGTTTTCTTGTAGCAAGCGCTGTATGATGGATCGCTTCCTTCACCTAAACACAAATAACAACCGTGGGAAACTCCGAAAGATGACAGCGGCCCACAGCGGCCCGCGGCGTCTACCATTCGATGACCTTCACTTCAGCACCTTACGGAGCAGAGACAGGGCTTGGGACCCCCATTCATCTCCCCCCAGGTACAAAATCACTTATTTTTCGGGATTATTTCCCCCCTTAAAGAGGCAGGGTGTTTTTGGAAAAAGAATAAAGAAAATAATAAATCACACATTTGCTCTATTCAGAATATATTTTCAGACTTGCCGTATTTGAATTACTTTTTTTAAAAAATCCTCAACCAAGGATATGTTTTATTAATTTGAGAGAGAGAGAGGGGGGAAGGGAGAGAGAGAGAAACATGGTTCAATTGCCTCCCATACGGCCCCGACCGGGGATTGAACCCACAACCTAGGTACATGCTGTGACCAGTAATCAAACCCGTAACCCTTCGATGCACAAGAGAAAGCTCCCATCAGCTGAGCCACCCGGCTGGGCAATTATTTTTGTTGTTGTTGCTGTTAATCCTCACCTGAGGGTATTTTTTCCTCCACTGATTTTCAGAGAGAGTGGAAGGGAGGGGGAAAGACAAGAGAGAGAGAAATATAGATGCACTAGAGACACATGGATTGGCTGCCTCCCACACTCGCCCCAACTGGGACCAGGAATTGAGACTGCGACTGAGGTATGTGCCCTGGACCGGAACAGAACCTGGGACCCTTCAGTCCTTGGGGTTACCCTTAACCACTGAGCCAAACTGGCTAGGGCCTGAATTACTTTTGAACTGACACCGTTAGTCACTTGTTTTTTTCCCAAACAGGATTAAGAAAGATGAGAAAATGTGCGCATTCAATACAGCAGGTGGCCAGAGCCAAAATGGAATCCGTGACATGGAAAAGGAGATCATGACTTTAAACGCTGGTTCTTCATACGTCCAAAAGGCACCACGTGAGTCACTGTGAAGCTGTCATTCCTTTATGCACACACCCAAGTGAGTAAAAGATTAACAACAGTCTTGCCAGCTTCCTTATTGAACTCTGAAAAAATTCCCTCTACCACGCAAAGAAAAGGGATCTTGCCTGGCGGGTGTGGCTCAGTGGTTGAGCATCGACCTATGAACCAGGAGGTCACAGTTCCATTCCCGGTCAAGGGCACATGCCCGGGTTGCGGGCTCCATCCCCAGTAGGGGGTGTGCGGGAGGCAGCCGATCCGAGATTCTCATCATGGATGTTTCTCTCTCTCTCTCTGTCCTCCCTTCCTCTCTGAAATCAATGAAAATATATTAAAAAAGAATAAAAAAGAAAAGGCTTTGTGTTAAAAGATGAAGTGCCTAAATGGTTTCTCTCAACAAGAAAGAGGCACGAACAACAATAACTTGTGAAAAGCCCGAATGGGCGCCTCCGTCAGAGAAGGAAGGCCTCCTGCGCGCCCGCCGTGAGCTGGGCGGCTATCAGGCCCGGCCACTCCTGTGACCCCGGTTAGGACTCGCTCAGACAGCTCTGCCTACTTAACAGGAACCACGTGATTCTGGAAATGGCACAGCATTTCCCCCTTTTCTGACAATACCAACCACTGTCAATAATAGCCGTAGCTTTAAACCCCAAAAGCACTCTTTACACGCAGGGATCTTCCCAGGAATAACACATGGACTCGCACCCCATGCACACACGGACACATACCATGCACACACGGACACACACACAATGCACACACGGACTCACATACCATACACACACATCATGCACACACGGACATATACCAGGCACACAGGGACTCACACCCCATGCACACATGGACACAGATCCCATGCACACACACACCCTGCACACATACACACACACCATGCACACAGACACACATACCATGCACACATACACACATACCATGCACACATACACACATACCATGCACACATACACACATACCATGCACACATACACACATACCATGCACACATACACACATACCATGCACACATACACACATACCATGCACACATACACACATACCATGCACACATACACACATACCATGCACACATACACACATACCATGCACACATACACACATACCATGCACACATACACACATACCATGCACACATACACACATACCATGCACACATACACACATACCATGCACACACACACCATGCACACACGGACACACATACCATGCACACACAGACTCACATACCATGCACACATACACACATACCATGCACACACGGACTCACATCCCATGCACACACACACCATGCACACACGGACTCACATCCCATGCACACATGGGCTCACACACCATGCACACATGGACACACACACCATACACACACGGACACACATACCATGTACACATGATCCCTGGCAGCTGCAGCCCTTAAATTATGAAGGACGGCGACATTACCAAAGGTCCTCACAGTCCAAAGCATCACACAATGCATTTGATCTGGGTGCTGTTCTGTGGGACCTTGCCCTTAGCAGAGCCCAGCTATGCACGTGTACACCGATGAGGAAAACATAGAGACGATTGAACTTAAAGGGCAAAGGTGCCCATTGCAAACCGCAGAGGAAGTCCAGAGGTGAGAATGAAAAAAAAAAAAAAGTCTATTTCCTCTAAGGAGCGCAGGTCTGCAAATCTGACAGCTCATGGAAATCACCCATCGAATAAGGGAACACGGGCCGGGAGGCAAGTGTCTAAGTAAACGTACAACACGAATTGTTTTAAATCAATGATGACTCAGAATGACTAAAACTCTGAAGGTGCAATCTTCAGAAATTCCATTTCAGGGTTTACAGTTAGAAAAAAAGCCAAAAAAGCATACTAACAAGGAAGACTTCAGAATTATATACCAAATGAGCCACTTCCCTGATGTATCTTATTATTTTTAAAAACATACTTGTATTGATTTTAGAGAGGAAAGGAGAGGGAGAGAGAGACAGAAACACCAATGGTGAAAGAGAATCATTGATTGGCTGCCTCCTGCATGCCCCGCTACTGGGGATCGAGCCCATAACCCGGGCATGTGCCCTGACCGGGAATTGAATCATGACCTCCTGGTTCATAGGTCGACACAACCACTGAGCCACACCGGCTGGGACTGATGTATCTTTTTATATAATATTTTGTTGCCCAATGTTAATGCTATGTGTAAATTTGATGAATGCATGTTTTCTACTCTATATGGGGCCAAAAGATAACAATATAGGCCTCCAAGCTTTTCTGCTGTTGACCTTATTAGAAACTAAATATTTAGAAATTATATGTTACCATCTAGCCCAGCTGGTGTAGCTCAGTGGTTGAGTGTCCGACCTATGAACCAAGAGGTCTTGGTTCAATTCCCGGTCAGGGCACATGCCCGGGTAGCAGGCTGGATCGGATCCCAGTGTGGGCTGTGCAGGAGGCAGCCAATCAATGATTCTCTCTCATCACTGATGTTTCTATCTCTCTCCCTCTCCCTTCTCTTTCCCTCTCCCCTCCTCTCTGAAATCAATAAAAATATATTAAAAAAATAAATACAGAAATAAATGTTACCATCTAATTTCCACATGGATGGCCAAGTAAACTTCATTAAAGTTAAAATCAAAACGTCTTCCTTCATATAATTAAGAAGAAGTCTATAGCCATACAATGGAGTGCGGGAAATGAAAAAAACGAAACGTATTTCAGACCTGCCTAAAGTTACATAACGGGCACCCAATTGGCCCACTCGTCCCCAGTTACCGTCGGCATACACGATTAGTCACTAATGGCTCTCTGCATGCGGTTTTCACTGAAAAGTCCACACGTTTTCTGATTAAGGGACACCAATCTGAGCTGCGCTTTGAGATTTCACACAAGCTGGAAACAAGATAACAGCTTGCTACTCAAAAAAAAAAACAAAAAAAAAAAGTCAGCATTTCTTTGCAGAGTAAACCGAGAGACAGGCTGCTAAGGAAATAAAATCAGCAACTCCAAGAATATGGCCTCTGAGAAAAAAACACACACAAAAACCAAGCCACCAGTGGCTCGCAAGTCCTAACAGAGAAGACGGGCGCAGAAATACTACCAAGTCCAACATGGCCGAGATGTGTGTGGATGAGTTCTGCTGATGTGATCGAAAGACTGGAACCCCTAATGGAGTAGAAGGAGTGTGATGTTAGTATCTCACTCAACATCGCAGAGCGTTCATGTTCCCAAACAAGCAAGGTGTGTGCATATCCACCCCGCTCCTGGGCCTCCATATAACACAAAGATTCATTTATTCATTTTCATTCCTCCCCTGAGAATACTTTTTTCCATTCATTTTTAGAGAGACGGAACGGGATGGAGGAAGAGGGCGGGGAGAGAGAGAGAGAGAGAGAGAGACATCAATGTGAGAGAGAATCATGGATCGACTGCCTCCTGCACGCCCCCTACTGGGGTTCGAGCCCGAAATCCGGGCATGTGCCCTGACCGAGAATCGAACCCGTGACCTCCTGGTTCCTAGTTCAAAAACAAAAGAATATGCAAACCCTCAGAGCCCCTTAAAAGGATCTCTAGCTAGGTCTTGGCAATTGGAAGAATCAAGAAAGACATTCCTTTTCGTGGGTGGCAGAAAGTCTAGATGCTCAACCACGAAGCCACACCAGCCTGGCTAGAATTAGGTCTAAAGCGGGGGAAAAAATATTTAACAGGGAAGACCCGAACAGAAAACACATCATTTTTACCTTAAAAACATACTTCAAATATTTTCAGAAGTCCTCATTATTAGACATCTCTCTGGTGATTCGCACACTGAAATCATCAAAACGGCCTTGAACCTCACAGACTTCTGCCTGGCTTTCACTGAAAGGAAGCGGACCCTATGCACACTTACAAGGGCTGCCCTAAATGTTCACACCGGACCCTGTGCACACTTACAAGGGCTGCCCTAGATGTTCACACCGGACCCTGTGCACACTTACAAGGGCTGCCCTAGATGTTCACACCGGACCCTATGCACACTTACAAGGGCTGCCCTAGATGTTCACACCGGACCCTATGCACACTTACAAGGGCTGCCCTAGATGTTCACACCGGACCCTATGCACACTTACAAGGGCTGCCCTAGATGTTCACACCGGACCCTATGCACACTTACAAGGGCTGCCCTAGATGTTCACACCGGACCCTATGCACACTTACAAGGGCTGCCCTAGATGTTCACACCGGACCCTATGCAGTAATTGGCGTATGACCGCTACCCTTCCCATTGGCTAATCAGCGAGATATGCAAATTAAACTGACCCAGATGTTCACACCGGACCCTATGCACACTTACAGGGCTGCCCTAGATGTTCACACGGGACCCTATGCACGCTTACAAGGGCTGCCCTAGATGTTCACACCGGACCCTATGCACGCTTACAAGGGCTGCCCTAAATGTTCACACGGGACAGCCCCCGGTAGACACGGACTCGAAATCCCATTCTGCAGTGAGCACTCCCCGGTGGGGTCTGCCTCTAGGTCTCAAGAACATGCAAACCAGGCCGGGGCTGGTGTGGCTCAGTGGCTAGAGAGTGTCAGCCTGTGGATTCAAGGGTTCCGGGTTCGATTCCGGTCGAGGGCTCGGACCCTGGTTGTGGTCGGGGTAACCAATCGATGCATCTCTCTCACATCGATGTTTCTCTCTCCCCCTCCCTTCCATTCTCTCTAAGAACCATTGGGAAAATATCCTTGGATGAGGATTAACAGCAACAACAAAAGCATATGGAAACCCTCAGAGCCCCTTAAAAGTGTCTCTAACTATGTCTTTATGTCTTGGCAGCGGGGAGACTCAAGACAGACATCCCTTTTTTTGGGGGGAAGGCAGAGAGTCCCGTGGAACGGAGTAAATCAAAGATTTCCTGAGGACTTCTGCTATTTTAAGTGCTCCGCGGTACCTACAACTCCCTCAGCCGTCTTGAGATATTAAAATTACTCTGAGATTAACAAGTCACTTTAGATTCCCGTGACTGGATGTTAGGAAAGTCATTCGCTTGGCTAATTTCTGAATTGACGCTTGTCTGATTTCCCTGATCATACCCGCTTCTTTAGGAATTACACGAATGTCCTAAACATTTAAGAGGCACCAACAAAATCCAGCAGCACAGATGTGACGATGCCTGAATGAGATGCTTACATTTCTTTCCTCTTTTTCCCCTTCTCTTTTTTGTTTTGTTTTGTTAATCCTCCAAGGATAAATATCTGAGGATATTTTTCTATTGATTTTTAGAGAGCGTGGAAGGGAGGGGGAGAGACAGAGAGAGAAACATTGATGTGAGAGAGACGCAGCCATTGGTTGCCTCCCGCAGGCACCCTGACCAGGGCCGGGGATTGAGCCTGCAACCCAGGTAAGCGCCCTTAGCTGGAATCGAACCCAGGACCCTTGGGTCCTTAGGCTGACACTCTACCCACTGAGCCAAACCGGCCAGGGCTAGATGCTTACACTTCAATTTACCAAATTACCAGTAAGGGTTTTGAATGGAGAAATCTCAGTTATGAAGAGGGCAAAGAGAAAGCCAAAACATTCCTTTGTTTTAAAATTCTGGAATGTCAAATGATAACGAGCTAGTATGGAAAGTTTTATGGGTTCTAGAAAACCGGAGGTGTAACCAGTATTATTTTTATCTTTTTATAACAGCTTCAGAGCCCATCCACACGTGTCCCACAGAAACACACAAAAGCCTGAAGCATTCCCGATACATCAGGCCTTCAGGGGTGCGTTTTGCTTTCCCACAATCTACACCATTAAGGTACACCGACCCCCTTTTTTACTAGGGAAAAACTCACATTATTTTCCAAAACTCATACATTTCCAGCCATCACCGTCCTCGACCAAACCCTGGTGGGTTAGGGAACGCCAAGGATTTTTATTCTGGTGGAGCTGCTAGAAGGACGGCAATAGGAAGGGATCAGGGGGAAGCAGAAAACTGCGGTTTAATTAAAAAAAAAAAAAAAAGAGTAGAGCCATTCAGAATGAACAAGCAATCGAGGAAAATTCCTAGGAGAGTGAGGGGTGGGGGAGGGCTACAGAAAACTCTCTGAACCTCTGAGCAAGGAAAATGGTACCAGTGGTACCGTCACCAAAAGATAATGCAACACACAGAAACACCAGCCAGAGAGAAAGGGTGGGAAAGACGACGAGGGAGTGGAAAAGTTATGAAAATGCCCAGGAGCAGGGCAGAAAGAGCAGCGTTTCTGGGTTTGTTGTTTTCTGTGTGTGTGTGTGTGTGTTTTGCGGTGAAAAGGGGGAGGGGGGTTCAGGAACCAGTTGCACCCCCGCCTCCCACCCCAGGGAACCACCCTGAAACCAGAGCTATTACCTAATGAGACAGGGGCCCGGGGATCAACAATGGGGGAGGGCAGGGGAGGGCTGCTGGTTACCTGCACGGAGGATGCTACTGCTAGAAGCTCTCGGCTACTTCCCAGGTGGGTGAGCAGGCCTCCTCTTGCTTTCCAGGCTCCGGGAGCCAAACACCAAACCTGGAAATCAGAAACCAGGGAGAGAGGTGAGGCGCGGTGCCCCCGGGGCCAGGAGCAGGGAGATGGGCGGGGGGAGGCTTGGAGGAAGGGGAGCAGAGAGAGAGAGGGAGGGAGGTTGGTTCAGGGCAGGTAGGAAGATGCAGTGATTTTTCCCCCCTCCCTCCCTCCTAGCCGTCCCCTTCGCTTCAAGGGAAGGTAACTGACTTTACCTGTCTCTTCAGCTGCTGCGGCGCTTCCTCCTCTCAGCCTCCTCCACACTCACCAACTTCTCCATTGAAGAAATGCCTCGGGCAGGGCCGGACACGGGGGTTCCGGAGCCTCCTCCGAGCCTCCCGGCCCCAGCCCGGCGAGCATCCACAGACGCTAGGCGGCGGTCCCGGCCGCGGGGCAGCCTCGGGGCAGGGGTGCAGGGAGGAAGTCCCGGCTCGGGGACGGGCGGGAACGGGGGGGGGGGTCCCGGTCTGAAGGCTCCGAGCAGAGGGGCTGCCGCGGTCCGGGCCGGAGGCTCCCAGCTCCGAGGCGAGGACACGGGAGCTGTCGGGGCAGCGAGGTCTCGGCTTGGGTAGGGTCCTCGGTACCAGCTGCGAGGGCACCAAGCGGGGGGCTTTCAGGATGCACTTTGCACTGGGCCACCCCCGCCCCCTCCCTCCAGCACTTTGGGGTCACTGGGATGGGACCAAGCCTTCAGCAGCCAATCAGCGGCCGCCCTGGAGCCAGAGCCCGGAGCCGTAAACCAAGTCCAGGGTGGGTGGGGCTGGCGAGAGGAGGCGACTTGATTGGCTGGTCGCTTCCTCCTCTCCTCCTTATCCCTAGCGGCACCACCCCTTCGCCTGCCGTAAAGCCGACTGCGCATTCGCGACAGTTGGAGGAGGCGTGGCCATCGAAGCTGGGACTCGTCTGCGATTGGCTACACTCACTCACCCACCTCTAGGCTTCCCCGCTGTGGCTTCCAAAGCCCGCCCCTAGCGGAGGGACTCGAAGCGGTTGCTAGGAGACGCTGTACGCCGAATAGGACTTCTACGCATGCGGGAGGCGGGGCCAGCTCGGACCGTCTGTGCATTACGGTGGCCCGGAGGGGGCCGGCGGGCGCTGGCATGGCGGAGGCGGAGGATCCCAGACAGGTAATCTGAGCTCGTGTGTGCGGCCGACCGAAAGGCTGGCCCGAGGATTGAAGGTTGGGGAGGCGGGAGTCCCAGGGGCGCCTTGTCCCACCGCCCCCGTGCCGGGTCCTGAGCTGGTCTCCATCCCTTGGGCCGCGGTAGCTGGAGGCTGAGCAGACCTCGCCCTGCGCGGAAGAGGGGACCTGTCTTTGTAATGATGGTGATGCTTCAAGGGCTCCTCCCCCCCCGCCCAGGATACGGATTCCCCAGGAAGGAAGGGGGAAAGGGAGTAGAAAACGTGTGATGGACGCGTTTGCAAGCATGCATTCATTTAGCAGGTGGCCGGGCACCGTCCTAGGCGTTAGAGAAACAATAGTGAACAATCTAGTTGTGTTCGCTTGACCCTTGGAGTTTTTCACTTTATTTTTTTGAGAATTCTCACACGAGGATATTTTTTCCCCCCATTGATTTAGAGAGAGTGACATGGATGTGAGAGAGACACATCAAATGGTCACCTCCCTTATGCGCCCCCCCACCAGGACAATAGAGCCTGTAGCCCAGGTGCAAGCCCTGGACCGGAATCGAACCCGGGACCGTTTGGCCCGAAGGCCGGCGCTCTAGCCAGTTAGCCAAACCGGCCAGGCCGAGTGTTGGGAGGTTTTTGATTACTGGTTCCATCTTCTCTAAGTAGTAATCTGTTCAGACTTTCTATTTCTTCATGATTCAGTCTTGGTAGGTAGGTTATGTGTTTCCAGGATTTTATTTTCTTCTAGGTGGTCCAGTTTGTTGCATAGAAATGTATATTCACGCCTTTAAAACGAAAGGAAAGGCGGGAGAGCATTCTAGGCAGAGGGAACAGCGTGTTATCGAGAGCCAGAGTCAGGAGGGAACCTTTCACGCGGACTATTCAGTAAAGGAGGATGGGCTTCCTCCTACTTGAGCTGCATCAATGTTTTCACCGTAGAGGCCCTGTCGTTCCTCAAATTCCTGAGCGTGTGGTACTCGGCTGCGGTGGGGTAGGTAACCTTATTATCCCAATAATTGAAAATCAAATCTTGGCCCAATTGGTGTGGATCAGTGGTTGAGCTTCGACCTATGAGCCAGGAGGTCACGACCTATGAACCAGGAGGTCACGGTTCGATTTCTGGTCAAGGGCACATGCCCGGGTTGCGGGCTCCATCCCCAGTATGGGGCGTGCAGGAGGCAGCCAATCCGTGATTCTCTCTCATCATTGATGTTTCTTTCTCTCTCTCCCGCTCCCTTCCTCTCTGAATTCAATAAAAATATATTTTTTGAAAAAATCAAACCTTGTTTGCGTGCATAGAATTCAGTTCAGTTAAAATTTGGGTAGTGCTGCTGGCAGGGGTGAGAGGAGGCAGGAAAGGGGAAAGAATGAGGAAACCTTTCATTCTGCAGCAGCACTTAAAATGTAGAACCCGCCGAAGGGGGAAAGATTGGCTCAGTGGATAGAGCGTCCGCCTGCGGACTGAAGGGTCCCAGGTTCGATTCCGGTCAAGGGCATGTACCTGGGTTGTGGGCACATCCCCAGTAGGAGATGTGCAGGAGGCAGCTGATCGATGTTTCTAACTCTCTATCTCTCTCCCTTCCTCTCTGTAAAAAATCAATAAAATATATTTAAAAAAAATAAAATATAGAACCCTATTTTACCAACGAAGGGTAGAAAAGTCTTCTTTCTAGACGTTTTCCATTAAAACACAAAGCAAAACTGTAGCGTTGCCATGATATAATGTCAGCCTAATGTGGTCAGATTCCTTACCAGTACAATCAAGTAGATTGGTCAATGCTCATTGAAAGTTAGTCCCCCGTCCAGTT